GTGATTTCCAAGTTCCAGTTTTTATGTGATCCTGATGACAAACTGGAAACCCGTGGCAACAGTCAAACATTATCCATGACAGTCAGTAAATCTTCCACTTTCTCTTCCTCCTGTGATAAAGCATTTGATTGCTTTCTTGCACAACAAATAATTACATCTTTTATTCATACTGTCCAAAAAGTTCACCCTTAACTAGCATCTGGCAAATTCCTCACCAGAGTCCCTGCAGCTGAACTTGACTGCAGGGTCACAAGTCTGAGTGAAGCCCTCGCAGTTGCTCTCATCGCTCAGGTCCATACAGTCTGTGTCGCCATCGCAACGCCAACGCTTGGGAATGCACAGGCCGTCCATGCGACACTGGAACTCGTCTCCGTGGCAGCCACCTGGAGGTCGGGTTGCTAGAGAGACAAAAAGTCATAGTTAGCCAGCAAAAGTGATGGTGTGTGCAGAGAAGCAATCAAACACGAACAAAACAGAAACCACAGCTCACAGCTACAAAGACCGCACAAACAGATGCCCAAAAAACAAAAGCAAAAAAAACTGAGATGAGAAAGAAAAGGCCGTTACAGTCATTAGTTATTGTGTAGGTATCCTGGGATGCTGGGTGACAACCTGACTCTGAGCCAACCCAAATAACAATAACACACATGGCTCACTGACTGGTGTAGCAGAGAGATTAAACGCATCGCTGCAGAAGCGGCACAGTGACGTCTCCTCATGACAGCGTTCGGCACAGCTAAAGAAAACCGGACTCCTCGCGGCACAGGACCACAATATAAAACAGGGGAAAGTGATGAAACCGTTTTATTTTATTTCACTTAATAACTTCCAGATGGCAGCCAAGAGAACTCACAAACACACGCAGCCGGGCACAGATTGCTCATTAGGCCAGCAGGTCACGCTGGGCCCGGATTTTGCATGCTGGGACTTAACAGCATTTCGGCATGGATCAAACGGTACACACAACATCGGATGCTCACAGCTGACAGGAGCTTCTCGGCAGAGCAAGGCTAAAGGTAATCGTGCAACACTGAGACGTGATGTCGTTCATATGAAAAAGCAGCACACCCCGAGGAAACACTCCAAACATGTTCATATCGCTACAGCACAGTCAAAACATCTGTGCGAGTTGCACGACACCATGAAAGCGTTTTGAGATTTGTTGTCTAACCACAAAACATAGCAACAGAAATGAATCAGAGGAAGCTGGAGAGCATGTAGGGGCATGTAGAGAACAGGAAGTGGGATAGGGAGAAGACGTCGTGACAACCCCTTTATGAGTGCAAATAGCAACCTGTAAATATAATGATAGCATCTTTGCTAAATGACAACAAGAAGCTGACTCAGCTACAAGACGAGAGAGCAGACGCCACCATAACAGAAACAAGTTAGAGCAGGGCTATTTCAGTTCGAGCTAAATTACCTTGGTTGGTACAGTTGGCATGAGTCTCGTCACTGTAGTCTCCACAGTCGTTGTCGCCGTCGCAGGTCCAGTATTCTGGGATGCAGCGGCCACTGTTACATTTGAACTGGACGCTGGAACAAGAGTGGCTGCAGCCGGCTTCGTCGCTGCTGTCTCCGCAGTCATTGTCTGTACATCAGATTTTTACATTTACTACTTAGATTGGACTCTACAGTACAGCGAGACAGACGGGGAAGGGAGGGATGATACTCACCGTTGTCACAGCGCCAATTTATATTGATGCAGCGGCCATTGGCGCAGGTGAACTGGGTGAGAGGGAAACAGGTTGGATACGCTGCGGGAGCAAAAGAGGAGTGTGTTTAAAAAATATTTATAGAGAAAAATGTGATATTCAACATGAAAGAGCAATAAAGACTCACCGCAGGAATCAGGTTCATCTGAGCGATCTCCACAGTCATCATCAAGGTCACATGTCCAGGAGATGGGGATGCAGCGCCCACTGGCACAGGGGTATTGGTTGGGTGGACATGTGCGAGCTGATAGGGGAAATTATACATTTGTTCTCTTATTTTTTTAGGGTGTGCGCTGTTACAGACCAGAACCATGTGAAATCGCCTCAAAAAGTACTTCCAGTCGCTTTCAATCTATCTGACACACTCAGAGAGCTTTAACTAATGGTGCTAAAGATTTAAACATCTTCCTGAACTCTTTGTAGATTGTTGCTGGCATCTGCTGCATGACTAAATGAAAACGAACAGATCACTTTGGATCGCTTTACTCTTACATGCTTCCTCCGATTAAAACTGTTTTAAAGCGGAGTCATCCTCTGATGACTGCATTACTCTTTTCCGATATGAGCACAGCTGTATGGTCTGGAATTTACTCTCTTTCTCCCTCTCTGTATGCTCTCCGAATTAGATGCAACTCAGCTTGTAGATACCAGAGCAGGTGGTGTTGGATTCATCCTCATCGTTCCCACAGTCATTGTCACCATCACACAGCCATCGCAGGGGGATGCAACGATTGTTTTGGCACTTAAATCGCTCGGCTGAGCAGGTGTGCTGGTCTGGGGGAAGAAACAGGAAAGAACAAAATCTTAGAAAACGATTCAAAGTTTGTCAAAGAAGCAAATGAAGAACGTTCGAGTCAAATGTGACCCTTTGCTTTTCGGTATTGACTCGTGATGTCAGAGTTAGAAGCCACGTAAACGCCGCATGGAAAGAGACAGATGTTGGAAACTTTCGTTTGCCCTCTGTCGGGTTGCGTTAGCTAAGACCCTTAAACGCCCTTTTGTTTGTCTTCGTGTTGCTGTGTAACCATGACAATGACGCGGTACACTTACAGCAGAGCTCAGGGGCTTCATCGCTGTTGTCCAGACAATCATTGTCCCCGTCACACTTCCAGCGCTCTTGGATGCAGCGGTTGTTCTTGCAAGCAAACTCCCCGGGCTGGCACTGGGGCGGGGGAACGTAGGCGGGGTTGGCTAGAGAGGAGATCAGGGGCGGGAGCAGGAACAGATGAGCCATTGAGACAAGAAGCGAGCATGCGAACAAAAGCTTTTAGTGACCAAGTCGGCTTTTGTTAGTCAGCTCTTAAAGTTAGAAAAATATTGACGGAGCTTAGTCAGAATTTCTGCACACATTTGGAAACACTAACATTTAAAATATCTTGCAAATTAAAAGCAAAGTGTGGATTTTGTTTTTAACTCATCTCTTGCACTGCCAGGCAATATCATCTTCTACTGGTAAGACAGCTAAGTACCTCTGCAAGTAACGTTATTGCCATCAAGGATCTGATCATCAGCACAGGCGCAGGATCTGCCATTAGGAATGGCGAGGCACAGACTGCTGCAGCCGCCATTGTTAACTCGACACGCGTTGGTTCCTACACGAAGTCAAAGTGGGAAGAGACGCAAAACAGTGTCATGTCATCTTATATTTAATGGGAAAAGGGAAACAATAAGTAGAAGGATACGTACCTTGCTGCTGGTGTGCATCGTACACTCTGATCTCAAATATGGGCGGCCTCTCATTGCGGAGTAGAGTGACTGTTTTAGTGACTTGGTCCAGTTTGTAGATGCTGCCACCGCGGTACTCGTTCCAAAACAGAAATTGTTTGTAGTGGCATAAACCAAAGGCATGGTTAAGCTCCTGCCCCTCATACACCACCTGTTAAATCGAGAATGCATCTCAAATTCTAGTAGGATAAAATTGTAATCAGACAGAATACGACAGTCCCAGAGTTTCACCAACCTTTCGCTCGGTGGTGTTTAGATAAACCATTCAATGCGGTCGTAGTAAGCATCCACCCAGTACAGGATTCCCTGGGGAATGTCCAGACTCAACCCATTGGGCCACAGGACTGTTTTGCTAGTGAGGAACACTTGGTGATGCGAACCATCCATCCAAGCTTTCTTGATCTTGCCTCTGTTGCTCTCTGTGGGATCCTCCTCCCAGTCAGTCCAGTACATCCATCTGGGAGACAAGGCGAGGTATTACCACATTCGAAAGGTGAGACATTTCTGGATCTGACCTGCAGAACCTCTTAAATATAGCTTTACGCGGTGATGCAACATCCCACAACAAAACAAATGAGGGAGTATTGCCAGCTCCTACACATAAATGTGAGCAGCGAGTCAAACAAAAACCTGCCGTGTAAGCAGCCCACACAACTGCAAGGCACTCAAAACATACTTCATCTCAACTGAATGCTGATGGAAAGAACATTCATTAAGTTAACAGCCCCTCCCTCAAGTCTCACCCATGCTGGGGGTCCACAACAATGGCTCTAGGGTGGCTCATCTTGCCCTCAATGAGAATCTTGCGGGTCCGTGAAGCCTTCTCCAGCCTGGCAACACTGATAGTCTTCTTTGGTCCATCGTCTGTCCAGTAAAGATTATTTCCCATCCAGTCTACTGCTATTCCCTCTACCGTGTGGATACCTGAGATAAGCAAAAGTAGTCAGTGTGAAAAAGCTACTGGCTGTCCAATCCAAAAGAATAAATACGAATCTGAAATAAGCTGACTTCATTATTTTTTTTTATCCACAAATTCTTTTTAGTAGCCTGAATTTTCAGTCTTTACCATCCTTCAGTATGACGTCTCTATCGGTGCCGTCTATCTTCTGCCGCCCGATGATGTAGCTCGTGGCATCAGCAAAGTAGATGAATTCATTGGTGGCGTGGAAATCCAATGCTCGGGGGTTCATTAGGTTCTCGATCGGGATCATGTACTCATCGGGCACTTTAGCGTTCATGTCCATGCCCCTGATGACTCCAGGACGACCTTTGCCATACACCAAGAACAGCTCGTGGTCCGGCTCTGCAGAGAAGCATCATAAAGCATCTGTCAGAGATTTTTAAACCACTACTACTTCACTCCCATCTCCCATCATCAAGTCAAAAGCTTTTCATCTTTGTCGAATCGATTTCTTCACTCACTCTTGCAGGATTTGCCGTCGCTGCCGAGGCTGAAGCCCGAGCGGCAGCGGCAGGTTCGGGTCTTG